TAGGGTTTTAACTTGAGCTAACACTTGAAATTTATTTTTCCTCAAATTTATTTTCAATCACACATTATTCAAATAAAATAATTTTGAAATTAAATTTAATTTTTTTTCATACTTTTTAATCACAAATTCTAAAAAAAAAAAAAAAAAAACTATTTTTCCCCAAAAAATATTCAAACAAACCCTAAATTTCGTAACTCATGTTAGCAAATTTTTAAATATTATTTTCCTCAAACTTTTTTTTTAATTTTCACTTCTTTCAAAAAAATAAGCCTCTGTTTGACCATAATTAAGATAAAAATCATTTTTTTTTTCAAACTCACTTTCAACAATACGTCCTAACACTAAAATATTTTGCATGTAAATCTAATTTTTTTTCTACTTTTTATCTACACATTCTTTAAAAAATTACTATTTTAAAACTCACTTTCTTCATTAAAAAAAATCTTTTTAATGATTGTCAAATTGGAGTTTACAAGTAAACTTAATTTTTTCATATATATATATATATATATATATATAGTACTATTTTGAAGCTAAATGTCTTGTATATTATGGATATTCATTACACAAAAAATGTGCTTCATTAAAACATTGTGAAAAAATCCTAATAAAGGAAAAAGAGTATATTTATTCCTTTAAGTACGTTACAAAAGTTGTCTCATTAAAAATCTTGCCAGAAAAACTCAATGAGACAAAACTTTGGTCAAGAGCAAAATAGTGCAACGTGTATTCACTCCCTCTCATAACAATTTTACTTGAATTATGCTTCAGGCATAATAAATCCTTCAAGGTTAACATTACTAGTTATACTAGATTAATTGACTATAATATATTTTAAGTTCATGAATCGTCAAGATAACATGATATAAACTTGTGATTTCATCCGCCATGATTTTTGCGAAATTCATTATATTGAGAGTTGTGCATTTCATATTATGACTTTAGTTTTCCATTTCCTTTCTATGTATGTATACACTTTTAGATTTTTGGACTGCGGGTCTAAAAACTTTGTTTGGAGGGCATTTTTGGACCAAAAAATTCATTTCACTACTGTTAGCACCTGTTGGCAGTCGCAACAATTGACCATTACACTCTCATGTGGGGCCCAAGTGACCAACAAACGGTCCAAAAATTCATTTTCTTCTTCCAAAAAATGCCCTCCAAACAGATGCTAAGTTTCTCTAATAAATTCAATTTGGGATTGCGTTCCATTTATTTGGCTAATTATTATTTCGATCAATATATTTCGACGCATTTATTTCAATTCCTAATTATTCATAATATGATACAGTACATCATGTATAAAAATATTGTCGGTACTATTCTTTTTCAATTCATTCTTTTCTATAATGATATAATTTATTGAGATATCCTAAATTTCATTATTTTAAGTAATTAAACTTCTTCTAGATTTTTTAATTTGTTATGTCTAAATACTTAATATATATCTCTTTTATACGATCATCTTTTCTAATTACTTCATTTTCGTTTAGAGATTAGAATCGAATATTATCACACTTCAAGTGTGCATATATCTATCAAATATAATATCAACTAATTGTCCTCTACAACGTTAGTTTGAGTTGGGGCATTTAAATTTGGTGTGTGAGATATTGTTGATCACTTTGGTCAGTAAATGTATCTAAAAAAAATTATTCGAATTTTGGTTCAAATTATCTTTTGTGAGGATTTAGATAATGATGCATTTATATATTATTTTACGCTTGTTAATTCCTCTCCCTAATACTGCGAGAATTGGTCTATCAAAATTGATAATTAGCAAATTGCGTTATAAAATATATTATCCAGATGAGATAAAGTTTCAAACTACTTATTTATTCTCAGTATTCTCTACTTTTCATATCACTGCATTGTAGCATATCAATTTTAGATATATTGTGCTATCGAAATAATTTGATGAAAAAATTAGGTTTTGACCATAAGCGAATTATAATAGGGAGAACTATGATGATGACATAATGCATAATAGTATTCTCTAAACAGAAATGGGGAGTACTTTTTCTCAATTAAATTAATCGACAGTGTTTAACAAACAATAGTGATAAACCATTTATCGACATCGCAACTAATTCTTTTGAAAAAAAATTACATTTTTCAAGAGTGTTTTGATATCATTTCAACTATACATTTTTTAATAAAATAATATCACATGCAAGTCTTAAAAAATTTCCTTATTTTTTAACCACACATTTTTTATAAATACACTATTCAAAAATTCATTCTTTCTCTTAAAATGGGGATCAAACAAGAGCTTAGAAATTATAAAGTCAACTCTTAAAAATCTTCAACTATTAACTTGTTCACTTTATCTTAGATTCGAAGCTCTGCCTTTCCAGTCCTTTAACACATTAAATTTTCTAATATATCTTCTTTAATTCTTGATCAATAATTAGACTGAACAATGTCACCTACACTAAAAGCAATCTTCGATGTTTGGCAGATACCGGATGTATTAGTGGATATCTATTGTACAGAAAAAATATTGACTCTTGTTTGTTAGCTACAACCTAAGTATACTAAATTTTTTTTTTCCCTAATCTAAATACGAAACATGTCTTGAACCAAGACAATGGAAGAAGAAGTACTAGAATGTTGAATATATTTAGAAAAACTAAAGTAGCTCCATAATTAGTTGTTATGTGATGTGATGACCATTGTATCAAACAATAACAACAACAACTATAATAATAATAATAAACCACTTGCCACCAAAACTATAAAAGAAAAAAATATATGGTTCATGAGCACAAGACGAATAGTCTCGTCAATCCTAACCCAGTTTCTTTTGTTTTCGTACCTTTGAAGTGATGGTATCGTGTGTGTGTGTATATATATATATATATTTAACGCCCGTCTCAATGCCAAATGGGATTTCTGTCATCTGCATAGACTTTTCAGTCAAGGATTGAAAATGAATTCTCAACGCATAGTGGACGGGGAACATTTTGATAAATGTGCATGTAATGAAAAAATATTTTTTGATTAAGTTAGCACTAACAGCCGAAAAATCGAATAAATATTCATTGATTTAACCGGATTTAACAGGAAAAAGGAGAAAAATAAATAAATAAAAAGCCATGACCGCAAAATGTATGCCAGCATTTTACTTTATTATTATCAGAATCTCTATTAGCTGTGAAGAAGATAAATGAAACAGCTAAATGGCAAGTAGCCCAGCAAATTAATGAGAATATAAAATGCTATATTTTTCATCCCTTTATTTTATATTTTTGTGATTAAATGACGGCTAGATGTACTCATTATCCTTATATTTTAATTTGGATTGTAATTGGATGAATATGATGAAAATTAGGAGAAACAAGCGAAAAATGATCAAAATAGAAGAAAATTAAAAATCGGGGACTAAAGTGCAAATACCTGAAAGATGACCTGGAAGCATAAATGAGGTTGTGAAAGAGTTAATGACAAAATTTGTTGAAGACATGAAGTGTTGGAAGAAGAAGAAACGAGAAAAGAGGTCAAGAAACGAAAAAACGGAGTTCAAAAGCTAAAATGCAAATGTTGAAAGTTGAGTAACGCATAGTGTTACATCCTCTGCGGTCGCATACCCATGTTCAGAGAATTGCAAAGTTGATTTTAGTTGAACTATGTGGTCACAAGCAAATGTACTATGCAATCGAAGGAAACAAATCATGAGCGTGTTTTAAAACCCTAATACCGTTAAAAAAGAGACGAACACACCTCTCATCTCCTCCACCTCTCTTTTAGACTTTCAATTTTCATGAGTAGCTAAATCTTTGTACTTGGTCGAAAGAAACTGAAGTCTCGGGACAAATCAAACAGTGAGATTTACATTATTTAATTCATGTTTTGAGTATTAAATGTTCTTCTACACGTATTTTCATAATTGTTGCGTTTAATTACTAGGAGGCCTATTAGTTTATTATAAGATGCAATCTATAGCTGAAATAAATATTAAATCCGTAATTGCTTGATCCCTTTAACTTGTGAGGCAACTAGGATTTAATTATTTGTTGTGTCAGAGATTGTTAAATCTTGAGAAGAACGTTTGACTATATTAAATACAACCGCTTGTGTTAGAATTATTTAATTACATAGATTTCTCTAATTCCTAAGGCCGTTATTAAATTAAACCTCAGCGTTTGTCTTGGTTTGTTTAATAATCAGAATTGATTGGATAGCTTGTTTTCTGATTAACTATAATTAAGGAGAGATTGGAAAATAATTCCAATGATGAATGCTAAAAATATAAATTGATAATCATACATGGATCAATGAACAATTGTGAAATTCCGATGGCGAATGTGGACTTAGATCAAAGTTCGTTCTATTGATTTAATTCAATTCGTTAACTTACATTGCTATTAGTTGTTTTCTTAAAATTGATTGAATTATAATTAAACTCCCCCTCCCCAAATTTTTGTTAACATAGCATAAAATTAGACTAGACATTCTTCATGGGAACAACCCTTACTCACACTACTACACATGAATTTGAGGAGTATAGATTTTATTTTTGAGTGCCTACGATAGCACACTAAGACTTTATATAACAATTTAAGCTTCCTTCTCGATAAATTTACTTAGTTACACGAATCCTTTTATGTCACTAAGTTGACCTCATTGCTCAGTCAAAGACAGACAGTATGAAATCCTTCAAATAATAAAATTAGACTAGACATTCTTCGTGAAAACGACCCTTACTCACACCACTACATATGAATTTTGAGGAGTATAGGTTTTATTTTTGAGTTCCTACGATGGTACACCAAGACTTTATATAACAATTTAAGCTTCCTTCTTGATAAATTTACTTGGTTACACGAATCCTTTTACGTCACTAAGTTGACCTCATTGCCCAGTCGAAGACAGAGTATGAAATCCATAAAATAATAACATTTTCCCACAAATAACTAGTTAAAATATGGATCGTGCAAGAAAAAATAAACATATCGTGCTCCATATTTTATATAACATAATCTTTGTATAGAATTGACTGTCACCAAACAATTCATTTCCACATAATTGTCCAGTAATTGTCGACCCCCTAGAAACACCTACTTGCACAAGATTTTCACGACAAGAAAAGCAACATAAAATGCAATACCAGTAGAGCATCCATTGTCTGGAAATATGTGAGAAATAACTAAATACAAAACTAGTATTATCCATCCTATCTTCAATTATAAAAACAATCTCTCTAAATTACGTTAAGTGTACTCGGTTTTACAACCCAGAGAACGGGGAAATCTTTTAGGCCGTCCCCAAAATTCTGAATTACATATCATCCTCAGATCTTGCACATTAAACATCGACTTTACCAGAGATCTGATGGAGATACTGCAGGCTTCGCTCGATTCATCTCTGAGATGAGAAACATGATGCAAAAAAGATTTCTCTTGCAGCTCATAAACTAGTCGATTTTGATGTTTCTATATATCCTCCTTACAAACAAATTAGAACCTAAGTAACCAACAGCACCTGAAATGCATGAAAAACAGCCTGTAAGAACAGTGAGAGAAATATCAAGTAGAAGATCTAATCAATATGTTATCTTGGATGTCTTAGAAAACAGAATAAGCCCATCCATAGGTGGAAAATTCATAAATTCACTTCGAAGAAAGGAAGGGAAGGCAACAAAATCATATCTTTAAAAAATCAACTGCCTGACATTTACTCACCGCAAAGAATTCCTAAGCCAAGACAAAACATTAATGTATAGCCAAAGTAAAAGCTTGTCTGAAAGAATCCTGACATCTTTGTCTTCACATAATAGTAATATATCGAGTACAAGTACACATAAATAGCTGTTGACGCTGCTGAGAAGAAAGATGTCCACTGCCAATGATAATTCTCGGCATTTAGCAGGAAATATGTTCCCACTATCGTCACGCAGACCGTGACGATAATAAGAATCACAAAAACAAGAAGCATAAAGCCATATACATAGTACACCTGTCCACAAGAAGCGAAGAGGATAAATTAGCTAAACAGACAAAATGAGAACTTTTAACTTTTTTATTTTTTGTTGGTTTTCAACGAGCAATATCAGTCTGTTCAGACCTAGAGAAAATGGGTCTTATGAAAGGATCTCAAATGAAAAGGGAGATGAGAGGAACACGAATAAGTTGGAGAGATGCATATGCCAAACAAAGTGAACCACATAAATTTATCTTTAACAGGCATAAAAGGGTTCTCAAGGGACTCAGTTTAGCTCTTATTTGAGCCCCATCCTTTAAAAACTCATTTCTTTTCCCCGAAATTCATTTTCAACCACTCATTCTTCCAATAAAATAATATTACATGTAAACCTAAAATTTTTACCTAGTTTTAACCACACAATTCTCCAAAAAAATCACTTACAAAATTTATTTTCCCAAAAAAAGGGACTCAAACAAACTCCTAGTATACAATTCATCAAAGACAAATAGTTTGTTCAAAACCTTCACTGCTCCTTGCCTCCTCATCCCACAAACCCAAGACCAAGTCATTCAACGGAAGTACAGAAAATGAAAATCAAACTGGTGCATCAGCAGATTGAATTTTTGTCAGCAGAAATGTATAGATAGTCACTTTTTAAATAATGTTTGTTTTAGGCTTTTAGCAGAATTAGCATACTAAAACTTCTCTTGATTCAACCCACAATCTGCTCCACAAAGCCACCGCCACCCATGTTTGCTTGGACTTAGATTTTCAGTCAATTGAACCCAATCCCAAAAATACAAAAATAAGGCATAGAAAATTTAAGAATATTAATTCAAACAAATCCAACTATCTTAAAAATAGTTTAGCCCAAAATAAATTTAAGTCTTAAGTAGAAAATTTAAGAATATTAATTCAAACAAATCCAACTACCTTAAAAATAGTTTAGCCCAAAATAAATTTAAGTCTTAAGTAGAAAATTTAAGAATATTAATTCAAACAAATCCAACTACCTTAAAAATAGTTTAGCCCAAAATAAATTTAAGTCTTAAGTAGAAAATTTAAGAATATTAATTCAAACAAATCCAACTACCTTAAAAATAGTTTAGCCCAAAATAAATTTAAGTCTAAGTAGTCCTGATACCCTAGGGCATAGGGTCATTCTGATATCACTCTAGAAATTTATGCCATTTCATTTTAGATGTAAAGATTAATCAATTAACCGCTAATATCATTTTCTGTCAACTCTGCATCATATACTTTAATTTTCAGATAATAATAAAATAGATAACGTAATGAACAACAAAAAAATAGCATGATATATGGCTTTAATGAAGCCTTCGAAACTCAAGAGAGGTCTACTGTATTACCTTGTAATTCCAGAAGGAAGTGAAAACAAAGTACATTTCAATGAATATGCTGCCAAATGGAAGCAATCCTCCCATCATAGAAACTACGGACGGTGTCAAGTACCACTTCTTCTCAGGAATTGGTCGGGGAATGGTCTTCACTCGGCATGGATTGTTTGGAGCACCACTCCAGTTTCTTCCAACAACTGCACCAAGAAGTGTCAGGGGGAAAGAGACAAATGACCAGATGACGAAGACAGCCACCATCGTGCCAAAAGGAATGGCTGCTAGGGACCCATAAAATATTGCAACAGTGTTCAGCATGAAACCAATCCCAAAGCACAGAAAAGGAAAAAATGAAGCAGTGAGAATCATTGATTTAATCCAATTTTTGCCTGCCATATGGATAGAAGAATATTTTAGCTTAAATCACATAACAAAATTACATGAGTTAGCAAAGGTATAATAATAGTCAAACAAATAATAGCATGCTGCAAAGCAGGGAACTGTGGGCACAAATGGCATGCACTTACCACCATGGCGTGAGTACATTCCACCACTTACATAGCCCGAGATGAATGATGTAAAAGCATAACATACAATGAAAGTAGTGACAATCGCACCTCTCCTGGATAATATATATGTAAAAACCATCAAGTTAGCAATCTGAATCAAATACAAAAATAATAGGTAAACAGAATGGCGATGTCAAAAAATATATCCAAATCGGCTAATCCAAAAATATCCTGTAGTCTTTCAGGATGCTACTGGTATTATATAAACCAAAATATAAATCGAAAAAAGTGCATGCATGCTCTGAAATAGGGATTGGGGAAAGAAGGGAGAGAACAAGGTACTTCCAATAAACTACAGAGAAGTAAGATGACTAATTCTAGATTTCAAGTAAATTAAAAACCAAGTTGCGTTTGGCATACCCGATATACAACATTCCGACAATTGCAAATAAAATGACAAGGAGAACCAGCAATGCTAGCTGCGCACCAGTGCCAACAAAAGCAGAGAGTAAAACTAAACTGCGGGGAGTCCTAAATACATCTCCATGAACAAGTTTCCAACCAGACTCTTCATTGACATCTCTTTCCTAAACACGAAAATGTTATATGCACTTCAACAATAAATTCAAGAAATTATCGAGATTTATTTGATGATAAGATTATTACCAGGGTTTCCAAATCATCATCCTCGCGGGCATATTTTGCATAATCATTTCGTAGAGTTCGCATCAATATCATCGATACCAGACCGGTAAGGAATATAACCATCATGAAGGAATTGAAAATAGAGAACCAGTGTATCTACAAGATTTAGAAAATAAGTCAGAATCTTGTGCCTGAAAACAGAGCATTTGCCACAAAACAGTAAAAGGCACTTGTACTGCTTCCATAATTGATTGATCTCATTTAAGTAGAATGTTTTAAGCGAGCAGAATTAGTAATGCATACTGATTAAGGTTGTATGAACTGACAAATCTTTTATTAATGAATAACCACAGCCATAACATTTTCTATTAAGTTGAAGGAACTGGTTTTGAACTCATTATGCAGAAATAACATCAACGTCTGAACGTCAATTTTTACCTGATGTTCAAAAAAAGGATAGTCCAGGTAAACATCAAAACGACGAGCGAAAGATGTGTTTGTCAGAATCCACTTCACTGAATATGTCATGTCAACTGTTTTTCCAACTTCCAATGGTTTTGCACCTCCTTGAGTAAGATTGACATGAATGATCTATAAGAAAAACGAACTTTATCAACAGAACAGAAAGATCTGTACAAAAACATAATATATAAACTGGCACACACTTGATCTTTGTTGTAATTCACAGTTATACTCTTGTGTGTGTAGAGCACATGCTTATTATCAGTATTCTCACCCACAAAACCTGCAAAAATGATGAATGTTAATTAAAAAATGGGTAAAATGGTGAGAAAATTTTGAAATGTAGTTGATAAAAGAAAAGAGTTCAAGGCATACCCCATAAAGGCAGATCATCTGAATTTGTAGCCAGCAGACCAGCAAAAAATACCCAAAAAAATTAAAAGTAATTGGATAATAACCAATATAAAAATGAAACTCATAATATATTTATTAAGGATAATAAGTTTGGTAAGAAAATGGAACAAATAAAAACAGAAGACTGGTGCCTAGCTTACATGTATGTACATACACATACAAAGAGAACACGCACGAGAGCAACCCCTAATGAATGAGAATATTCTTGTTCTCCAGCTAAATTCAATTCCAATAAGTAAGCAGAACCACTGATCCATCTTAATCACCAATAATCCACAAAGTACAAGTATATTTTTGGATAAAATAAAAAGAAAAACCTCTTCATCATTTTAAGAAATTTCATTTTTTCCCTAATGATGCACCAACAAGAGTCATGCATAAAGCCTCCTGACACCATATAATTGGGGCGAAGGCAATGTAAAAATGTAATGTCTAAACACCCAAAATTTTGCAAAAATGTAATGTCTAAACACCCAAAATTTTGAATGATCTCTTCTAGCCCCCACTTGGCCCCCATTTTTTGAAATTAAAATAAGTGGAATAGTTTTTTTTTTTTTTTTTTTTTAGAATGATAAAGTTGAAAAAGAAGGAAAAATTTTCGATTTATGTGTAATATTATTTTATGAAAAATTGTGTGAAAAAAAAAGAAAAAAAAAAAAGGAAAAGAGCTAGAGAAGTTTACTTAAAGCTAAGATGCCTCCAGAGTTTTGACTAAAGTGTGATGAGGACATCCAGTTTATTTATTTATTTCTAGTCGAACCTTATTTCATTTTGGACCTTATTTCATTTTGTTGTGGATTTTTTATTGGGCTTGTATTGGCTCAAACCCATTCTAGTTAGGGTTTGGTTTACTATTTAAACTTACTTTTCCATGTAATTTCATTATTTGATGAATGAATAATTATTTTGGTGGCTTATGGCGCATCCCTCTCCTTCTTCTGTTAAATTCTTCTTCTTCCCCCCCTTAATTCCCTATTCTTTCTGAATCTGTTGTCTTTTTCTATTAATCTTCTTATTAGTGCTGCATCAAATTTGGTATCAGAACCGAATCTTGGGTAATTTCTTTTCTTTAATCCAAATTTATTCATATTTCCTTCCCAAAATCTATTGGAACAGCACAAACTAAAATAATTTTTGGTAAATGCAGCAATTTTTTTTCTTCTTCAATTTTCAGTCTTAGTTGAAAAAAATTAAAAAAAATAAAAAGATAGAGTTACTGTTCATCGCAGGTGCTGTTCACCCAAAATTTCAGTTTAATATTTTGGTCAGTTTCTTAAATTAAAAAAAGAAAAAGAAAAAAAAGGTTACTGTTCATGCCAAAAATAAAAAATTCTCGTTTTTTTTTGTTGCTGCTGCTGCTCATAAATAAAAAAAAAATTGTGGTGGTGTTTCACAAATCTCAAACCCTAGCATTCAAGCCCACTTAGCCCTTCAGCCCATATATTCCATCTCTATAACTTAGTCCATTCATTTTTATTTATTTTTAATCAAAACAATTGGGCCATAAGCTAGTGGCCCAAATTACTCCCAAAGCCCACTAACACACAGCCCATCTCTCATCATCTATTTAGCCAATCCATTCGCTTTTCAGCCCAATAAACACCAAATTCAACCCACTTATCATATATTATCACAACTGGCCCAACACCATCCAACCCATAACCGGTCCCAAATTCGCTCGGCCCATAACCTTAGCCCATCATATACAACACTTAACCTAGCCCACATCTACAATACCCAATCAACCCAAGCCCTAAACTCCTCCTTCCCCGTCGGTATCCCACAGTCACCACACTTTCAGCGACCGCCCTCACTGCCAATCTCCAGCAATCCACTGCCACACTAGTTGTCATCCACCACCCGGAGTTTAGTTTTCGCTTATTTTTCACGTCGATGGACTTCTTTTGAGTTCAGAGTGCCAGGGACATTTGTTGAATTGGATTTGGCCTATTATTTGCATTGGAGTAGCTTGTTAAAACTCCTGAGGATTAGTGTTCCATTCAACGACTCGACTGCTTAGGAGTATTCCATTATAATTTTCTACTGGAGACGTGCCAACTGGGAAATCATAATTGGGCACAGTTCTGATTATTTGGGTCTTGAAGTACATCGCCAACAGGTTTAAACTTCCGTGGGTACTACCGCTGCAACTAAATAACAGGGAGTGCTTAATTTATATTTGTCATTGGCTTACAATACTGCTTCATTTAAAATTGCATTAATTAAATTTTTGTGATTTTGTTATTCTAACAATATACCTAAAGTCACGTGACTGAATTCGTTGATTAAGTCAAAACCCTATTTTACCCCACTTATATTACATGATAAGGTTTTCACTATTATTTGATCCGTACTTTGTTATTTTACCTAGATCAGCAGTATTAGCTTGCCATATTTGAATTTATTTGACCCTGAAAAAAATGCTTAGTTTGTTATTTTTCATTTCTTACATTTATTGTTCATTGATCTCATTATTGCACGTCATTTGGCTGGTATTAAATTGCATGTAGTTGCGTAGTGGTCGTCTTATCGTCTCTATTTCCAATATATTGACCATGGATCCACCCCCATTTGATGCACTCACTAGACAATTAGTGCAACTTGCCACTAGCCTATCGATTGTCCAATCAGATATAACTGCTACTCGTGAGGAGAGAGAACCTAGCCGCTAAGTTAAGCAATTTTAAGCAAACCCCTCGTTTGACTAACACTAATTCTAAAGCGTCTCATAATAGACAATATCATCGTGGATAAAGTGATCAAAAATATTTTCGACACGATCGTAAGAATAGGGATCAGGTTCGTGAGCGAGAACAAGGCCATGGTTATCATGGTACTCATTCTATTCCTTATCGTAAGGAGCGTTTTTTTAGAGACATTGACTTAGATACTCCTACTTTCGATGGTTCCTTAGATCATGAAATTTTTACCCAATGGAACACCATACACAAGGGAATCGGCTAGTGACTGAGTACATTGCTCAATTTGAGGAATTTCGAGTGAAATGTCATGTCGTTGAGGATGAGGCACTGACTTTAAGTAGGTTTATACAAGATCTAAGAGATAAACTTAGGCGTGAACTTTTCTTTCGAGGCATCACTACTATTGATCAAGTTTACTCTTCAACTCGGAACTACGAGTTACTTATTAGTACTCTATATGAAAAGCACGACCACCATCGTTCTCCCATGTCATTAGCGCCATCTCAACATGAGTCTGTCATAGAGCCTTCCCTGTCTAGTGTTCCTCCCATTTGAAAAAATAAGTGTAAAGGTCGTGATAGTCTAAAGCCCCCTTCTCCTTATAGAAGGCGTATTGACAACCATTCTTCCGTCTCATTCGCTCCACCTCCTCCTGTTAAGTCTCTTCTAGGACCTCCCCCGTCTCATGTTCCTCAAATCTTGGAAAATAAGGGTAAAATTTTTTTAATTCCAGGGACTTCTTCTCACCTGCTATGCATCAACTGTAAGGACTTTGGCCACATCTATTCCAAATGTCCTAACCGAGCCTTAGTCATAGAAAAACGGAAGGATATAATATAAGAGTCGTTAAAAGATCAAATCTATGAACCTAAATTTGAAGAATGTGATGACTTCAATGATATTGAGGACACTTCCTTATGTAGTATCAGGACTTTTCCTATGAATCTAGGGGTTGTACCCCTTGTTCCCGATACCCCTTGGTTAAATGTTGTGTGTCATACTCTTTTCCAACCCAAAGGTACAGATGAATTGTGTAATCATGTCCTTTTCAAGGAAAATCTTGAGAATTGGGATTTGATCCTCCCAACAATTCAAAGTGCATATAACAATTTTGTGCATCGGTTTATCGGTACAAATTCCATCGAAGTTATTCATGGTTATAAGTCTAGAAAACCTTTAGACCTTATTCCAATGTCCCCACACACCAGTATGTCTGCGTCAGCTGAGGCATTTGTACGCCATCTTCATGAATTGCATATTGAGATCAATAAACAATTTGAAACAAGTAATGCATTACATAAACTTCAAGCTGATTTGCATAAGAGAAATTTTGAATTTAATATTTGGGATTTTGTCATATTGCAAACCTGTAGTGCTGGTCCTTGTAAAATTTTAAAGCATGTTGGTTCAAATACATGTGTCATTGATCTTTTATCACATTTTGACCACCATTCTATTTTAACTACTAAGGACTTTTTTGCTTACCAAGGCTATTTTAATCCCTCTAGTGATTATTTTCTACCTCCACATGGGAATCCCTACACTGAACCTTTTGCTATGTCTGCTCCAATACCACTTCTCACAACACACAAAGATAAAATTGATGTTATTTTAGATGATCAGATTGTGTTGACCAATAATAAAGAGATTCAATGCTTTCTTGTTCATTGGGTGGATCGACTTGATTCTGATGGTACATGGGCCCCCGGAAAAAGACTTCAACAGTGTGATCCAGATTCGTTGAAATTTTATAGGAGTCTGCCAGATCTTCCTTTGCCCAGTTTATCTTTGTCAGATCATATTCTGGGAAAAAAGTCGCAATTTTCATTACTATCAATCATGGAATTTTGATACTTGGTTCGTCAGAAAGATCGCCCCCCGTGGCATACCTTGAAGCATTTTGGGTATCAAATTGATTGCAACCTCCTATGATCTATCAACTCGACAGGGTCGAGTTTTTCTCCCACCCCGGGAGAATTGATGAGGACATCCAATTTATTTATTTATTTCTAGTCAAACCTTATTTCATTTTAGAACTTATTTCATTTTGGTAGACTTTATTTTGTTGTGGATTTTATTGGGCTTGTATTGGCCCAAACTCATTCTAGTTAGGGTTTGGTTTACTATTTAAACTTACTTTTCCATGTAATTTCATTAGTTGATGAATAAATAATTATTTTGGTAGCTTACGGCGCATCCCTTTCCTTCTTCTGACTTCTTCTGTTAAATTCTTCTTCTTCTTCCCCCCCTTAATTCCCTATTCTTTCTAAATTTGTCGTCTTTTTCTATTAATCTTCTTATTGGTGCTGCATCAAAGTGACGGTGCTAGTGCTTTGCAAATAAGTAGTACTAGTCATGATATCATGGTTTACAAATCAATTAGTTCAGGATGGTAGCATGTCTGTTGAACAGGACCTTCTATAAACTAATTTTATGGCATAGTTCTATTGTAACAGAAACAAATTTATCCATCATCATAAAGTTGATAAAAAAACAAGTAACTTACCAATGAAAAATTCAAACCAATAACTATTATCAATAGCATCCTTGAATTGTTTGACCTTTGCTTCATCAAGTTCAAGCTCACAAATAGTGGTTTTGTCCACAGATTCTGCCAAAAAGGAAAATGACAAACGTCATCATATGATAACGTAAAAATGAATATATCCGAGAGAGATCCATGTGCACTTACTTTTGAATTTTATGTCAATCAGGCTATCAATAAGCTCATTTCCACCCAATACCTCACCAAGACCACCCCATTTGTGAGCAGCATTACCCGATGGACGACAAAATGGAAGACTATAATAATTGTAAGTTTCTTGTGGATTATTGTATGGCCCTACTTTATTCACCCAAAGGGTGATGGGATCATCTGGTCGATACTGCAGCGGAAAAGAAAAAGACATTAGTGAAAGCACTTGCAGCTGCCAGAGTATAAATCAATTTCAATTTGAACAAGCAACTACGTAAAATCAATTTTTAGAAAGCAATCAGAAACTGCGGTATTTTACCTCCGTGAGATGAGGCATGATGATATGCTCGTAATAAATCATAAATCATCTTGTAAATCCATGAAACAACTTACAAAATTGATTATCTAACTTGCAAATAAATCTAAAATTAATAGACAAAATGCCGAATAATAAGTTCTCAAATTAGTCAAGAAAAAAATTTTAATCTACCGTTAGAAGGAAAAGCAACCTACAAGTTTCCAATATTATTGATAGAATCCATGATCCTTATTCATTGTTGAAAACCCAACTTATAGTATAAGATTTTCCTTCACCTTGTACATTGCAGATTTCAATTTAGGATGTGCTGACACCCCTCTAAGCATGAGGGTTGGAGCTCATTAGGCATCTCCAAACACGGTTATAGAGAAAAACCTGACTCATCCTTGGCATACAATCGCTTTGATACCATGATAGAGTGCATGAGTCTAAAATGCAAACTGTAGCCAAATTTAAAATGTTAGGTTTGCCTTCACCTTATATACTGCACATCTTCTTTTCAACCAGGCAATGTGAAACACGCTAACAATATCAATACTAATAGGATGTTCACGAGAATCGTCAATATTTTGATTTCTCTGCCTCCCTCATCACTATTAGTTTCTAGTCATTCTTTGTCATCATCCTCACTAGCAATGGAGCATTACCCTTTCCTCTTTCATATAAAGGCAGGATAAATGGTAAAACATTTAAATTCATAAAGAATAGCCCAAATAAAGTCGAAACTAATAGTAAAAGTCAAAAAGGCAAATGAGTGCATGCCTCAATTTTCACAAGGCTTATCCTTAGGTGCAAGCCATGACAAATAGCACTCAATGCGCAAGCATTGAGGCCAGGAGTGGAGCCACCAGGAACACACAAAAAAAATTAAAAAAATAAAATAAAATAAAATAAAATAAAAAATATATATGTATTCTACTTGGCTGATACATAGTGGGCTTAGGGAGCAGGCCTGGGCCTTCCTACGCCCCTGATTGAGGCATTAAATTAAAACCTCGCTAAAGTTGGAACTCAAGAACTAAGCCTTTTTAAAACATTGCAAAAAATTAAAATAAAACCATTGAACTGCGTAAAAAACTGCAGAGTTTACCGTGTTGCAAACAAATATCCGTTAAAAAGATGATTTCCTCTTTTTTTTTTAAAAGGTTAATAATGTCGTCCAGCAGAGTGAACACATCTTTTGAAGGGTGTGAATACTGATGAGAAACCAGATGGCAGTCTTATAAGTTTTTCAACCTTTTCTTTTGCTGGCTAATAATCAAAAGATTAACACATAACTTGAAGATGCCTTCAAACTCATGACATCACTTTGTTTAAATAACAAATAGACTCCAAAACGTTCTGAAATTTCAAGAACTATCAACTTAGCAATTCTAGATATATACCCATCAATTCAAGGTGGTTAACTGACACGATGCACATTATGATGCGATAAGAACGTAAAAAATCGAGATATATGCCCATTGATAGTAGTCATAATATGATTTCCTATCAGATAAACAACATTCACATGAGCAGAAAATCGTATCCTGAAAAATAAAATACTCGTAACCCTCAGTCACCCAGATGCAGAAGTGAACAGTAAAACCACACAATTCAGATATCTTTAAACAGATCTAATTAACCTCCGATTAATTCAGAACCAATTTAACCAATTCAAACCAAAACTTAAGATACTATAAACAGAAAACAGCTAAAATTAGGGCGTTTTCTGTTGAAGCGGGTCGAGTGAGTGAAAAAAATTAATGAAGTATACCTTGTGATCGGACTCGGAGGCGAACGCAAGTGAAATGATAAAGAAGGAAGCGAGGAGAGAGGAGAAGAGTCGAACGGTGGACTGCATCGGAACGTCAATCGGCGGAAATATCCGAAGCCAATATAGAAAACGGGTCGGGTTGAGTGAGAACGAGATGGAGAAGTGAAATGCTATTCATATGCCCAGCTTTCAATTTGAACGTAGCCCGGCGACGAGGACTTTGCGTAGAGTCCGCTTGCAATTGATTGCAATTATAAATGTTAGGTCAGTCGTGATTTTGAGAATTGATTTTTGGATCATTATAAGAAAATTGGGATCCATCTGTGAGAAATTAAGTCAAAAGTTACAATTGAAATAGTAAAATAATAGTCAAAAAATCAATTTTTTGACTAAAAGATCCCTCATAAATAGGCTCTTAGTCAACAATACCTTTTAGAGGAAATTTCACCCAATACTAGTTTTAGAAAACATATTAAAATTTTAATCTTCATCAAATTTTATTCCAAAAATACTTAATTTATTGCAAATGAAATCTGAATCCCAAAAATTGCTTTGCTTTTTGAGATTATCTATGCCTCCAAATATGCCTTATATAGCATGTTATAATCGTTTCTCCAAACATGCCTTATCTCCCACGTAATACCCGACCGAGAATCACTCAAGAAATCCCCAAATTAACTCTTCAATATTTTTACAAAGATTAACCAAAAACTCCGTGGTTGCCTTCGTCAATATTTTAGAGATTACAAACCCCACCAAAATCGATATGAGGAAAATGGCATCCAATTCCATTTCCATATTCACGACAATACGTATGTTCAATTTTCTTGTTTCATTTACAAGAAAGCCACATAATCTCTTTGTGCATTCATCTCCGATCTATGACATCCATTTCACATGGCTCAACAATATTTTGCTAACTGTAAACTTTTTTTTCTAATACATATCAGACATCGAGTTGCTATCTTTAATAAAATTAAACTACAGCTGACAATTATACTAAGACTGTGTTTTATTGCACCCCAATTCCATGAAAAATAGAAATCAAATTCCATCTTTCCAATTTTTTGTTGTTTGATTGGCAAAATTTTCCCTAAAATTCGAATTCCACATTTTATGCCACCTAACCTAATTTTCATGTTTTCCTTGAATTCCAATTCTCACTAAAATGGTGAGAATTGGAATTCTCGATTACTGTAGCACTTTTTTTCGATTTTTTATTTTTATTTTTTCTTTGTTGTTGGCAATGGAAAAAAATTCTAAGAATTATTGTAAAAAAAATATTTCTTTTTAAATGACAATTTTCATGTAAAACAAAGTCAAACGAACTTCAAAAGATAGATGATTTTCTTGAATTTTTGTGTATGTCTTGGCAATGGAAACAAATTTCATTCCCAATACCAGTAAATTTTATCCCTTTAATTGACAATTTTCATGTAAAATAAAGCCAAATGGAGATCAAAAACACTTTTATTTCAATATTTTCCACATAAAAAATTATCTCAATCAAACACAATAGTTTACAATTCTCAGAAAAATAATTTATAGGCAATTAAATTCCCTAAAATTCGTTTTCAATTCAATTTAATTCCATCTTTGCAATCAAACGGATCCTAAGAGTCTGTTCGATTGCAAAGGTGAAAAATGCAAACTAATTCCATATAAGTTGAAAAAAACCACCAATATCGTTGGAATTCGATTTTCACTCAATTGGCCAAAAACACGCTCTCAGTATTTCTATCTTGGAATTCGAACTCCATTTTCATTTTCATATCAAACATCCAAAATAGAAAAAGAATTCCTCAGACGTGACATTTTTCAGGGAATTTAATGCTATCAAACAGACTCTAACCAAAAAGCTAAACTTTTACTAACTATGAAATTTTTTATATTAACAAAGTAATGTCATCTGCGCTGACTATGAAATTTCTTATATTAACAAAGTAATGTCATCTGCTCAAAATCTACAGCAAAGGTGGATAATAAACACTAATAATCATCCAATTATATTTTAGACGCTGTCTCTTCACTCTCTGTGTGTATCTAGCTTTGTTCATCTATAGTTTTTTTTTTTTTTTTTTTGATGGGTAGAAGTTTCATTCATAAAGGCAAAAAGCCTTAAGAAAGGGTACAATAGTGCTTATCAATGAAAATTACATTTTCAATGACAGAAGGAACACTATGCCACCAAAGGACCATGTCTTCTAGAGACCATGCATGTCGCGCCAAAAAATGTGCTGCTTGATTGGTGAGTCTGTTGCAGTGATGGAGGCTACATTTAGGAAAACGCTGCATTAATTCCTTTATTTCGGCCGCCTGAGATCGGATTGATGCAGAGGTTAAAACTGATTTATTGACTTCATTAACGAGGAATAAAATAAACAGTTACTCTCTACCAACAAATGAGATATGCCGAGATTAAGGCAAAGTTGTAGCCCTCTTACAAGTGCCGTAGCTTCAATGTGTTCAGGTTCGAGAAGTGAGTTTTCAGGCCGACTTGCAGCTAAAATTATTTCTCCTTCGTGATCACGTAAAATAATACCGAGTCCAGCTTTATTTGAATCAAAGAACAATGCGCCATCAGTATTGAGTTTTAATGCATTCGTAGGTGGTGCAAACCACCTATATTTTTGGAGAGGCACACCGGGAGTGACGTTGATAGTAAGGCCCGATTCAGCAGGAGGTTTTTTAGCTAGTGCAGTATCAATAATTTGTTGTGGTGAGAGGTGAAACTGATCATGAACCATCTTGTTCCGACGGAACCAAAAACCCCAGGTAATGAGTAGAAATTTCGAGAAAGCAGCCTTTGAAACTTTTGTTAATATATCAATAGCTGCTTGCATAAAACCTCCTAGATAAGCCTTAGTCTTTAACACTGGAAACCGATTGGTAAGTAGTTGATAAATAGAAGGACAATGGAGTAGAACATGGCATAGATCTTCCACTGGGTAATTGCAAAAACAGCAATGAGGAGCAATAGGAACTCTTCGTCGGACCAGTTTCTGTTTAGAAGGCAAGCTATCTTGACAAGCTCTCCAAGCAAAGATCTTTACTTTTTGAGGAATTTTTAGCTGCCACATGGTATCCCAAAATTTCTTATTTTCAGCAGCACGCGATGAAGTCCCAGAATCAGGAGTGAGGCAGTTTTTGAAAAATCTATATGCACTACTAACAGTATAGGTTCTGGATTTGTCATGTTCCCACGGCCAGAAATCTTCTTCTCCTGAGTGGCTAGGATATAATTTCAAAATAGCCTCCACAAGTTTTGGATAGAATAGAGTTCGAAGCTTTGCCTAATTCCACCACCTTAAGTTATGATCAATCAAAGAGGAGACTGGACCTTCAAGTTGCTGATTATGATTTTGCTGTAAAACAGTCCCTAACTCCCTTCTTAGATCACCTATGCCAGGGATCCATTTATCATTCAAAATATGTATAGTGTTGCCATTTCCCACAACCCATCTCCCCCCTAGGACCAATAGATTTTTAGCCTCCCAGATTCCACGCCAAGCATAAGAGGGGTTACAACCAATAGATGCCTTCAAGATGTTCCCATGAGGAAAATAACGAGCCGAGAATATTTTATAAACCAAGCTATCAGTGTGGTGCAAGAGCCTCCAAGCTTGTTTACCTAACATAGCCATATTAAAGATCTGAAGCTCTTTAAAACCCATGCCCCCGAAGGATTTCGATTTACACATAACATTCCAGGATTGCCAATGAATTTTCCTCTCTTCTTTCCGTTGGCCCCACCAAAATCTAGCCATCATCTTCTCAAGTTCAGTGCATAATGTGGAGAGGAGTTTGAAGCAACTCATAGCATAGGAGGGAATTGCCAAAGCAACTGATTTGAGGAGAATTTCTCTACCACCTTGGGAGAACATACTACTTTTCCATCCTTGCAACTTCAGCCAAACTTTATGTTTTATGTCCGAGAAAGCTCGAGTTTTTGATCGACCAACCATAGGTGGTAATCCAAGATATTTTTCATATTGTTGTACCTGAGGGGCATGCCAGAGGGCCATAATTGATTCTTGCTTGTCTTGACTTACATTTGCACTAAAAACCATTGAGGTTTTATCCCTGTTCAATTGTTGACCCGAGGCATCCTCATAACTACTTAGAAGAGCTTGTAGCCGAGACGTAGTGCTCTCATTAGCTTCACAAAAAATCAAGCTATCATCCGCAAAGAGAAGATGATTTAAACTTGGAGCTCCTCTGCACACTTGAATACCAGTCACATTTTTATTTCTTTCTGCCTTATTCAATAGATTAACCAATCCTTCCATACATATAAGAAATAATTAAGGAGAGATAGGATCTCTTTGCCTTAAGCCCCTGGAGGGGGTGATGTGACCAGTGGGAGAGCCATTGATGAGGATCGAGAAAGAAGTCGTAGTAACACATTTCATCACCAATTGAATAATCTTGTCATGGAAGCCCAATTTATGCATCACTGCTTCAAGGAATGACCACTCGACTCTATCATATACTTTGCTCATGCCGAGATTACCGTAGGGAGCACTGTTTTTATCCTGTTTGCCACAACTTTTGAAACCAATTTATACAGGACGTTACAGAGGCTTATAGGCCTGAAATCCTTAATTGTCTGGGGTTTTTTTTGTCTTAGGGACAAGTGTAATAAATGTGTGATTTATATCTTGGGGAAACTCACATGTATTTAAAACATGTAGTACCACATTTGTAACAGAGGAACCAATAAGAGGCCAGAAATGTTGAAAAAAAAGAGGAGGCATACCATCAGGACCCGGAGCTTTAGTAGGGTGCATCTCCTTCAAGGCCTGGGAGACTTCGATTTCTGTAAAAGGTTGAATCAAATCTATGTTCATATCAAAAGTCAATTTGCATTCTAAATTATCGAGGACAGCAGCATGATTTCGTGAGCCGGTAGAGGAGAATAAATCAGAAAAGTAGTTGGTGATTAGCCGGTTACATGTCCCTCCCTCCTGCCAGCAGCCTTGATCATCTAAGAGTTTAGTAATCGAATTTGTTTTTCTTCTTTGGGAAGCTTTAGCATGGAAATAACGAGTATTTTGGTCACCCTGTTCAAGCCATGCAGCCCTAGACCGCTGCTTCCACATAAGTTCTTCTCTATCCATCCAAGTTTGCACCTTTTCAGCACTTGTTCGAAGTGCCTCAGTATTTATAGTTGCAGGATCTTTCTTCTGGATTTGAGACAACTTCGTTCTGGCTTTGTTAATCTCCACTTGCACTCTTC